AATTCACACTTTTATGTAACCAGCAACATATTCCTGGGTGTTTTTTTTTATTCAAAGAGTGGTTTGTATAATCACAATACGCGTTACAAATATCATAACCTAAAATATAATTTGCGGGCAACTACTGTTTTATTTAAACTTTAACAAATACCACGCCATGAAATGACGATATGACGCAAATACAAATGACAAAGGAAACAACGGACTACGATTAAGTAGTCACTTTCTTTTTCCTTATTCCCAGCTTTTTAAAAGTGCAGGAATAAATCAGAGTTTGGAAAAAATTAAGACGGACGTTGATTTGATAATTAATAATTGATAATTTCATCCCACGCGTTAGATCTAAGGCATCAATCACCCCCAGCAAATGATATAACCTGGAACAACAAAACAGCTCCATGCAGCTCGGTATATTATCGCCTTATTTGACTTCTGCTTATAGATAGCCTACTTCGTAGGGTCCAATAAAATTGCCATAAACATATTAAATCTATACCTTCTTCTCCTGATGTCATTTGACTTTTCAACTTTTCACTGATGGTTTGTATTTCCCTTTTCATCTCCTTGAAATCATCTCTCGTTTTGTCTGAGAATAATGCGTTGTACATTAGTTTGAGTTGAAGCACATTCTTGTCATCATGTCACGAAACATGTAAATAAAACGAGTAAAGAGAGTCCGCCAAAACGAGCACTGGCGGAGTAAGTGAGGGACACATAATGAGCCTTTATGATCTTTCAGAGTAGCCAAATATACAATATTTGGGTAATGTACAATCATAATTCTAATTTAAAGAACTTAGCCTACACAACATTTTCAAAAACAATTTAAAAGACTGATTCACAGCTGAGTATAAAATAATGACTGCATAAAATCATTCAGTTCTTTTTTCACTTTCGTCAAAATGTTTCTTTCGCTAGATCAGCTTAACTGTATAAGTTTTTATCTAGAACTGACCTTCATCGTCGGTCTCTCTTTGTGCCATCAAAGTGTCTAACTTCTCGCTCATGTACGCTATCTCACTTTTCATCTGTTGAAGGTCGTTTCTAGATTTGTCTGAAAATGAAAATTGACATCAGCTTTCGTCCCTTAGTGTGCAGATGTCAACGTTATGATCATGCATTCGCTATTACTGTCATATCATAAACCAGTGATAACTGTTGTTGTGACAGAAATTCCTTTAAATTATAAAAGATCTTCTATCTTCTGCTTTTCGGTTTTCGTTTTGCCAAATTATATTCATATACATGCATATAAAAATGTCAGGAGGCTTGAAAGACTTCCTATCATTGGGTGCGAAACGACAAAAGATTAAAAGGTCTTAAAAGCTTCCGATCTTATTATGAAAATTAAGGCTGTGTTGCACTGTGCTTTATGGTGAAGGTGACCTACGATTTTCAGCTGAAACTGGCATATCACTGTCATATCACTGTCATATAGCTCGACAAATATTAACGTTTGTCATCAAATTTCTGCCAGTTTGACCATGCAATAATTACCCACATTAGTTTCTTAAAACAGTCATCCCCTCGCTTTGTCCGTTTCTTTATTAATTTATTAGTTGACGTGATCAATTCACTGCTTCAGTTACAGGAGAACTTTTCTCTTGATTAGAGATGGAATCTCTCTTCCTTTAAATATACTGACCTTCATCTTGGCTTGATTGCCTCAAGGAGTCTAACTTTTCACCGACTTTTTTCACTTGATGTCCCATTTGCTCGAGTGTCTCTTTGAGGTTTTCTGTGTCGGAACAAAACTCAGCATGTCAGATTTAGTTTAAAGCTTATTCAGGTTGCTCTTTAGTCTTAACGCCCACGTTTAGCTGCACCATTTATTCGTGTCCTTTATTTTTCAGAGGTGTGGGAAGCAATGCTTAATACATGACGTGTTCATTATACAGGAGACAGAAAAGCTCTATATTCTAAGGAGATGATTAACACTTGACATTTCGTACTTCTTGCAAAATAACAAGATAAATATTCCCTTCTTTGAATAGCTTTTTTAAAGTGCTATAAGTTCTTTGAACTTTCCTTGTTACTTTTTCAAGGTCAAGGTTTTTATTTTTACATTTGTTATTATTATGATTATATTGTAGGCGGCGTGTGCAAATAGTTCCATGCTGCAACCTTTCACTGTGAACAAACCTGCTTCTGGGCTTGGTTCTTTTAGCTTCCCCAAATTGTCCATCTTTTTGCTTGCATTTTCTACTTGATTTTGCACTCTTTCAAGTTTGTCTTGGATGTTTCCTGAGGATTAAATTTAATTTACTTCAAGGGCTAATAAAATATAAAAATACTAGGCGAAGGTGAGGGTTGGAAATCGCCATTTGAAGAAAAATGTGGTCAGAATTCTGCTAAAACACTGAATTAGATTATTCCCTATTGATTTCTATGGGATGACAGTTGATGAGGCCTTCCGCATTCTCAACCATTACCTTACAGGCGTCTCGAGCCCATAATCTAATTTATTTATACAGGTTAGTAAACAAAAGGGCAACGCAAAGCCGTTTATCTTACCAAACGAAAGGTGCAGTATCTTTTCCGCAAGATAATCACACTGCCTCTTCCAGCTGTACTTTAACGCATACTTTTCTCGAAGAAGTTTAGCCTCTTCAAGTCGAACTTCTCTGCCTTTTTGACGGACAATGTTGATAGCCTTGGCCCATTCTTTTGGATCTTCTGAATCGACTACATAAAAGAAACCGAAAGGAACTTTCTTCAGAGCATCTCCAAGTCCTGAGTTGCCACTCACAAGTACAGGAAGACCAGCAGATAGAGCTTCGAGAGCGGTCAAGCCAAAGCCCTCAGTCCTCGATGGCATGATTGCCAGATCGACCTCACAGAACAACCTGGCTAGCTCTTCCCTACGATCCTTAAAGCGGCGAACGGTTAGCTGACTTGGGGGGATACCATGCTGGAGTAACTTTTGTGCCACTTCATCCTCTTTTCCTGCTGGTGCTCCAACAAACATGAGCTGGTAGGATGAGTCTTTCAGTTCGGCAACTGCTTGAACAGCAATGTCATATCCCTTTAACTGGAAATCTTCACCATCACCGCGTCCAAATACCAGAACAAAAAACGTCCTTCTTTCTTCAGTAGCTTGTTGAACGCTGAGAAACTCCGTGAAAATGCTTGGGGTGAGATTGATAACATCTTGATCTTTCTTACTGAAACGGAGGTAACGGGAGTAGGCATCTGCCAGCTTGGGTCCAACAGCGACAACTTGATCGGCCCGCTCGCAGAGTTTTACTTCTGCTTGATGTTTTTGTTCCCCTTTGAAAATTGCTTCTTCATAATTCTTGTACATCCCAAGTTCTTCAGGAGCCGTGTGGACAACTTGAATCCATTTGCAATCATGGTACCGCTTTATGAGTGGTATTTGTCGACCAAGGTGAAGTCCGTGTCCAATTAAACAGTGAGGAAGATGACCTTTAGGTAAAGAAGCCAACCAATCAATTGGCTCTAAACCTGGAAGTTCTTCTGCTTCAATGAGCTGAACACTGTGTCTACCAGCAACTCCCTTATCTTCTTCACTACATTTGGGAAGATAGACATAAACCTCCACATCAGGGTGCTCTGCCAATTGTATTGCAAGTTCTCTGCTGATGGTCGACAAGCCACCCTTTGATGACTTCCATTCACAACTTAACAGAGTAACTGTCAATGTCTTGTCAGAGGGCAAGCTTAGTTTTTCATCTTCCAAGACTTTCCGAGATGTGGACGCCACACAATGAAAGGGGGATTCCTAAAACCAAATTAAAAATGAGAAATTCAAGTGCTGCATAAATATAATCTCAATTTTCACTCCCAGATTGAAAACGGGTGGGTTCTCAGCTTGATATCTTGGACAGTGAATTATGTCACAAAAGTATTTTTTTATAGAAACCCTCGAAAAAAAGGTTTGAAATGAATTATGAAATTACAAAAAAAAATTGAACTTAAAGGCATTGTACTTTCTCCAAAAGTTATTGCTAGCCGACCTTAACAAACAAGTTACAACAAATGTGCTAGCTAAAGAAAGCAGTACTCTTGAAATAAAAACTCTCTTTTTCGTGCAGAGTGCATAATTGGGATGGTTTAGGGGTCTACCCTCCGCTAGTCCGCTAATCCACTATCCACTACTGAACGCGCTAAGATGTAAACCTTCATGTTTTGTTAAGGCGGGGGTTAACATGAAGGTCGTATTTTGGCTGGGTATCATGGCCGTTTAACGCAAATATCTCGTTCTCATTTCAAGCAGTCAAAAATTCCTTTGCTCATCCCCCATATCTACATTGGGTATAATTGGGGATAAATAGTTTTTCTCAAAGGATTAGTAAAATTTATGGAAAAAGGAAATATTGAAGATTTCATGGTATTTTAAAATTAGAATTTGAAGTTAAAAATTGGTAGACGTACACCTCCCAAAAAATCTGAGTTATTTGCCTCAAAGTGAAAGGAAATGTTAACTTTTATAATCAAGTTTTATACAATCACATTAACTAAGATTTGTAGTAAACTGTAAGAACCAGCTGACACGTGCATATCACTGCAAAATAACCTTTCTGTATTATTTTGCGCCACTTGCGCAAGGAGATCAACCCTTTTGATGGATAATACTGCACCCTAGCAATCACATGATCTGTTAAGGAAAGTAAGTTCTGGAGACTGCCATTCAGGGTTTATATTCCTGCCAACTTTTTCCGCGTCACAAGATTTCAGAGAAGACCCCTACATAACCGAAGATCTCCGAAGACGTTTCAAACTCTCGAACCACAACATCATCTCCAGAACATTTCCTTTAAATATCGGAGATGTGGTGGAAATGCATTGTCATCTACAAGGATTTTTCTTCTTTTACATTGGTGAATGAATTAACATTGATACTTTTTTGAAAATGTGCAGTTATGGCTGTAATACAAAAAGCTCAAATTTTTCAGCTAAAAGTTTAGCCTTTAAACAGACTCCCGTCACTTTTGCTCCTCAGGCTGCTCTCGGCCAGCTCCGCTCATCTCGATTTTCGTTCGCTCTATAACCCAATCGACAGCCTGATCAAAGCCTAAGTGTCAGAAATTAGTCCATAGTCCTGAGTGAGTAGGCATGAGATCAACGTTTTCCACCCTCATTTGTGAACCATTTTAAAAATTTGCTTTTTTTTTGTACTTTCGGTTCTCCTTTGATGGCCATTTCTGGAGAAAATCCCAAAAGTCACTGGGCAATAAACGAGATAAAATTGCTTCACATTATAAATCATGAACCAAAACATGTCGGCTGAGCGCACTTAATGGGCGAGTCACCGTATGAAAAAGGGGAAGAAAAACAGCTAAGCAAAATAGCAACCAGGCTATAAAAAAAAGACATTACCTCTTGTGGCTTGGACATCGCAGGAAACTTTTAGAGAATGACTGGCGTGCTCTAACTACATCGTATTTTGAAGTAAACCTAAGTAAACATTAGTATAAGAAAATAATTAGTGCTTAAATATAAGATACTACAAAGAACTATTATATCTCGCTAACGACAAATAACTATGCACTTATCACTGACTTTTCCAGGGAAAAAGCCTCAGAAATATGTGGGGAATGGTACATTTTTGACATTTGTTCTGCCCGCGGGGTAGCGGCATTAATTAGTTTTGGAAACGAACGTGTCACACCCCAGGATGCACCCATCGGACAACGCTTTTAAAATCCCAGATAAACTTGTAGTATGTTATTTGAATGTAATGCGTATATATTGTAATATTCGTGATACAGTGGGGATGCTGCATCCAGATTAGTGCAAGGAGAGTTTTTAAATTTTGAATTCTTTTTGAATTTTGAATTTTCAAATATGCTTGTATCTGCAAGATTATGTGGTCCTCATCTTTTGTTGTTAAGTAAACTCTTGCATTCAAAAATGCAAACGACATCACGATTTACGTTGATTTAGTTCGCTGTAGTTAAACCACTGGTTCAACCCCTAGGGATGAAATTGTTCCCTGACAAACGCTGATGAGTTTGTTTAGGACAACTGAGTCATTCATGATCAATTTTTGCGAAACGTAGAAACAGGCTAGATTTCACATTCCACGACTTCCGCTTTCAGTTCTTCGAATGCGTGCGTGTCTCGTTGTATGTAATCTTGGGACTGAACTGCTCGTTATGAATGATAGTTAGCTATAGTTAGCTCTCAAATTATTGGATATTGAATTAAAATCTTCTCAACAATTAAACAACTGTGGAAATGAGTAAGGTTTTTCCCGTTTATGTTGCTTCGTAGCGCTACCAAATTTTGCGCGTCCCTCAAATATGCTTACGTTTGATAATTTTATTCCACTCATCCTGCTTACCTGAAATGTGAACGCTTCTTTTGTCGCCAGAATCAGTCACTTCGACGTATAACTGTGGCGATGAACAGGAGATTCACTACATAGAACGAACATCTACTTAGTAACTTGAATACCCCACTGTCGTTGTGTCTCGCCTAACTGTAAATCCGTCTAGTCACGCGAAGTGAATTATTCTCAGAAGCGAATGTTCTTTCCCTGACCTGAAGTCCCTTCTAGAATCAGTTCATATACATTTTATCCACCGATAAAATAGAAAACCGCTCCTTCAGCAGACAGGGTGTTGTCTGAACAGATCAAAGT